ACAAATTTATCAGGTTTAGTCTCTACTACTTCTTGCGAAGATATAGTTCCATCTTTGTTATAAACGTCGATGTAATAAACACAATACTCGGTTTCACTCTCGCGCAGTATATAACTTCCAGGCTCGTTGGCACATTTTTCTTTAAGCTTCGTATACGAAAAATCCTTTCTGAAACATTTTTAAAGTAAATATTATTCTATGTAAATATTACATATGTAAGAACTTTCTTTCATCTTGTAAAATTCATCTTACCCAACTGGTCCATGGCATCTTAATTTTTGTAATCTTTCTAAAGAAGGCGTAATAATACTAAGATCACCACTACAAAGATTAAAATTCCACTTAACAGATAAACGGTAATAACCGTCCAATGCAGATACAAATGATAATAAAATCGCTTTTGTATCAAATTGTACACACAATGGTATACCAGTCCTCCTTCCAATTAACACAGTGTTGTTCTTTCTAAAATATGAAAATATATATTCATTATTTTTATATAGATAAATGTATATTCATTATTTTTATTATATTTTATTAATATGGACCATAAAAATTATTTAAACTTGTGTTTTAAGATTGTACATTAATAAGAAAAACCAATATACTGAAATACATTGTTATATTGCATATATTTGTTATTACCCTATAGAGAGAGTGGATATATCCTCTATCCTACAAATCGTTTTCCATGTACCAATGTCAATCTCACAGTATTTTACTTGCTCTATGGTAATCCTAAGTAAGACTTTAGCTCTTAGATTAGGAATATCTTTATCCATTAATGCTGTGTATTCTTCATATGGATAATTTGGAGCCATGCGTTCAAACTGTTTCAAATACTGTTCCTTGACATATGCAGCATCATACCCAGATAATTTTGTAAGTGCATTGTGAATAGGTTTTCTAATAAAAAAGGCATGCCTTTTTATGCATTCTTTAGGTATATATTTTTTATATTCTGATTCTACAATTTCTCGTGGGAGTTCTTCTTCAAGCATTACCCTGCAATGAAAAAATTGTAATAAACAACAATCGTTTATTCCATATTTTATCAAAGAAAAATGATTTGTACGTTACCTATACATATCGCTAACTCCTAGGCCAATTAATTCATGTTTATGTTTCTCATAAACAATGTCAGGTACTTTGTTATCCAATACATCCTTACGAACTTGTTCAAAATAATAATTATATGCATTTAAATCTATTTCTCTCAGCCTGTCCATACTAGATGGCTTGAATCTCAAGCGAAAGTTGAATCTGTACTTCTCTGAATCTTCTTCTAGTATGTGACCACAAGGGAACCATAGTTTTGAAGAATAACTTTGCAGTGCAAACAGATGTCTTGCTAAAGGACTTATATTGAAAGTATGGCATATCTACAAGTTAAATAGTTTTAATTTTAAAAAAATATTAAGATTGCTTTGCTTACAAGGATAAAAATAAAAGATTATAATCAAAATTTATTTAAATATTACGGAAAAATAAATTTAATTTTGCAGAAATAATAAAAAAGGTACAAATTGTTGACAGAATAAAAAATTAATAAAAATAGATTATGTAGATTTATTAATAATTTTACAAAGATCAATAAAAATAATATGATTAAACAAATTTATTTTGATTTATTAACATACAACTATAATTATAATTCAATAGCCAGTGTGTCTTGAAGAGAGCAGTAATTGTGCATGTGTCACAAATAAAATTTTATAATACAAATAATAATACTGTAGATCTTATACATAAGATTTCCTAAATTAGTTTGAATATTTATTGTATCTTCTTCAGTTAGTGGCTTTTGATCAATCCATAGAATACAAACAGTAACCTTATACCAATTAAAAATTTTTCGCACAATAATATAAATGTTACATAACACATTTTATATGTACATAACAGTTTTGTTTGTCATTAAGCAGAAAATTATAATTATATTGCTATAACGTCACTGTTAATTTGTTATTCTACACAAATAAATAAATATTGACAAGAGAGCTAATTTCTTGTTATAAATCCAATAATGAAGATGATAATACGGTATATGATTAATACAAAGTAGTTTTCAAAATCGTCAAGTCAGAAATATTCATTTTTGCCATAAAAATATACAATAACATTCCATTCTGTTTTATTTAACTGAAAGAAAAAGAATCATTCACACCTTTATACACAGATACTCGATGGTTTCACCAACAGTAAATGCAAATTTCAATGGTTTATCCCTGTTGGCCATATAAATGTATACATAATGTGATAGTCGCAGGTCGTCATCCATATTAATTTACAAATCGTCGGTCTCATCAGAAATATTACATCTTACAGCAATCCTCGATACCCAACGCACACAAATTTGTTTTTTGTTTACCATGTGTGATAAATATAGCGAATTCAGTCACCTGCATTACTCTGCACTTGTGCAGACTAAAGATTATTAAAGTCTAAAGTTGTTTAATGATAAAAATATAATACATATACCATGATTAATAAAATGTCCAATATTAATATTATTACCTCTCTGATGAAAAACACGTTCAAATCAATTCTATTGGTCAACACTACTGAGCCCTCCTATTTGGATATTTTTTGCATAGAAAATCTTTACAGTATAACCAGAGGGAAACTTGAGAGAGGACATGACGACCTAAAACCTGTAACCGCAAAATGCTACCGCGCACTATGCCCTCTGACAAAGTGGATATAAATTACATAGCAACGTTTTCTTAGGGTACATCGTCCACTTTTCAAGGCTGGAAATGATAAATCGATATTTAATTCATATAATCGTGCTACATGTAGCCTTTACCGTGCCACGGGTAAAAAAAATAATATATCTTATTCGTTTGGCTGCGTTCGGATTCCCATCTGGGTGATCCTCGGGTCATCCTTGTTTAACGTTCGGTAAACAACAAGGATGATATGACATCCGGGGAGCACCCAGATAGGAATCCGAACGCAGCCAAGCAGGTAGGATGTTATTTTTTTTTGTTTTTTTTTGGAGCAGCGTAGGTGCCTCGAATCAATAAGCACTACTGTCTATACACTCCACATGACAGATTTCCTAACCTCAATAATCATCAACTTTAACGCTTAATAAAGTCAAATGAGTCTAATTTCATCAAAATCGGAGATGCAGTCCGTATTCTAAATAATTACTCTGCAGTCATTAATCTATTTTCTTTTGCGATTGTGATTGGTCTTGCTGTTCCGTTTCGCTGTAAATTTGCGCTCATGGGAGGGCGGCCTAAAGTCTCGTCTACAATAGTCGCACAAGCTGTGTCGAGCCGATTCTACTAAGGTAATATAAACGTGAGTATTCACATATCCGTCATTTTTACTCCTTTCTCCACTCCTTGCTCTGTTCCCGTCGCTGAGCTGAGAAGATTATGGTCGTTACGATTGTTATAGGTTACAGCTGTTAGAAACCTTGTAACTTCTTGAAACTTGTATTTATGTATTTCTGCACTTCGAAATTTTACCATAAAATTAAGAGACGAAAAGAAGGATGTAAAAAAACTGAAATATTATATTGGGTCATCTAAAAAGTATCCGCGGTACTTTGTCACTAGATATATGACCATCAACACACATCTAGTGACAAAAAACCGCGGATACTTTTTAGATGATCCAATATTAACAAAGGTAAAAAAATTTATAAAATACCTTGTTGCGTTGCGGTAAATTGTATCAATAGATCAGAAAAAAGTATTCGATTATTTAAATTTCCTGCGGATAATATTCGTCGACAATTTGCTGTATTGCCGTAAAATATTGCACATGACTTGTGAATAAACATTATTACACTTCTTTGCAGATCAGAAATTTCAATCCTTTTCTTTAAATTGACATACATATTTGGCACCTTATCTAGAAATAACCTGAATGCCAGACACTCTTCAGGTCCTGCACTAATATTACGATAGATAACTGATTTTGAGAGCAAAAATGGAATGAAAGGAGCGAAATTTCAAGCAGCAAATACAAACCATAACTTGTAATAATCATAATGTTACAGCTCAGTGATGGAATAGGGATAGAGCAAGGAGTGGGAAAAGAAATAAAAATAATGAACGCGAATACCTACGTTTCTAGTGTTCTAGTTCTACATTAGTTGCAAGCCGATCGCAAGTTTGTTGCGACAGCCAATCTGAAGTTTGCATTTTGAAATCAACGCTTCATATTGGCTGAAACTGGCGATCGGCTTGCAACTAATGTAGAACCGGCTTTAAATGTCGCAGAAGTGTCGCATATAGGCTGTGGTTAAAGTCTCGCTACAAATATTTTGAAGCATTTGACTAATTAGAAGAAAGAATTTACAAATTAACTAGTTAAAAAATGCTTCAAAGCGTTTGCAACATCGTGACCGTACCCATAGTCGCATGATTGTCGTAATCACGATGCGGAAAAATGATAGTAAATGCGTTAAAGCTCAAAAAATTGTCATGAAATGGTAAATATTAATTGTAAAACATTAAATACTACACAGCGATATAATTGTTTTTAATTTAAAATAAATAAATTATATTTTATTCTAATAAGCAAATTATTAATATGAAGTTAGTAGTTTTTAAATTATATTTATGTTGAATCTTTGATGCATGTGAATATAGCACACAAAACTTGCGTGATGGAAAAGTGCGGAATAGCGCTGATTGGTTGCTTCAATGATGCATTCTGTATTCCGCAGCCCTATTCGGACCGAGTGATTTCACCCTTAGTAGCAAGAATGCTTAGGATTCGATTTTAGGAGTCCACATTTCGTTATTAGTTATTTTTACATTCATGACTGTTAAAATCTGATACGACTGGATTATGTTGTGATCATAAATATAAGGTAGTTAGCTCAGAAATCATCAGCGTACAAGTAATCGCCAAGTTCACGTATTAAAGATGTATTTTAGTGCTTTCTGTCGATCGTATGGCTTACTAATATTTTTATTAGTTTCAAGGAGGTATTTATAGTGTTGTGTTATTATCGAAACTCGTAAATGTATGAATTCACCATTGATTAAATCGAATATATACAGCAACCGAGCCTATGTATGATTTCGATCAAATTGTGAGGTTAAGGATGCGGTTATATAGATTGATATTTTCCGCGTAATGCGTTTCGCGTAACCAATCAGAGGCGTTCGCTTTCTGTTATACCTGTTTTAAATGTTATCGTTCACATGAACACAAAATTTGTGTTAAAAATATTTGCGTAACCAATCTGTAACATTTGTAGTATTTTTGTTCGAATATTTTAACAGAATAGAAAAATTATTGGTTAAATGCTATGTGCTACTGCCGTTTTATGTGCCATGTGCATTAAGGACATTTAATTCCGCGTAACAAAAACCGCGGAATGCCTCTGATGTTATTGTTTCGTAAGTTGAGTAAAAAGAAATAATGAATTCGGAATTATTATCTATTATTGCTTTACAAAAAGTAAAGAATAAATAAAGCAGACAGAATGTTACTCATAAAATTAAAAAAAATTAATTACTCTTTTTTTACTGTACAAAGAGAATGAGTGACACAAAAAACGAAAATATTGGGTTCATCCGATTTTTTCAAGCGAAAAGCGACGGTATAGTGGAACTCTTATTAGAGAATTGCATTTTCATAATGATAAAAAATTTATCAATTATTTTCGCATGAATATAAAAACATGAAAAATTATTAAATATTGTCGGGCTACATATAACAAAACAAAAGTGTGTTCGAGATCCAATTCCGCCAAATACACGTCTGGAAATCTGTTTATTTAGGTATAGGAGACAACATGAAATGTCTTTTGTATGCATTTCGCATACGAACTAGTACCATTTAAAAAATAATTTTAGAAACTTGTGAAGCAATCTGGACATTACGAGATAAAGTTTTTCCAGAATTTAACAATGACTTTTGGAAAAATATAGTAAGAGAATTTGAAGAAAAGTGGAATTTTCCACATTGTATAGGAGATGAAAAACATGTTATAATTCAGGTATATTAATATTTATACTTCATTATTTTAATTATATGTCAAGAAAATGATTATTGTAATTTTGATATACAGGCTCCTCTCAATAGTGGATCAATTTATTATAATTATAATTTATTATAATTATTTATTATATTTTTCTTAATTTAATAATATATATAGCTTTTCAAATTCAATATTTTTTATAACATCATTATACAACTTTCTCTTATATCTTATATTTAAATCTTTTAAATCTTTGTATCTCTTTAATAACTTACTAACTTAATAAGATTCTTTGTAAAGAGGTTTTTTGTGATTTAGGCATACATTATGCTGAAGTCAGCCGTACTCGACCATGGGGAAATGTTGTACGGCATGAGCTTAAGCTCTATCATTATCTGTTAATTTATCACAGATAAAAATCCATATATAATGTGGGAATCCATATATGGATGCGGGAATAAAATTAACGAGATCGATACTCGAAAACCGAGCCAACCATCATTCTTGTTTTTTTAAATAATATCTTTGGTTAATAGTTTAAAAACTTGCTTTTTCGCTTTCAAACTCTACTGCTGTGGCTATTTGAAGAAATTTAATTTCCAACATAATTCTCTTTTGATATAATAAACGGCATAAAGCTTCTATAGTTCTTAAAAAGCCATCAACGATATCTAGTTCTGGAATAAGCATCTTTAAAATATCTAATACGGCAGTTTGTAACTGTCCTGACTCATTGTTTTTTTTTGTTCTGTTAACATAATTGAATTAAAATATCTAATTAGTAATAAGGCTCATAAATTTTATAAAACAAAGAAAAAAGAGGGCTACAAGCCAAAAATTATTATATTGTATAAAATAAAACATGATAATATATTAGGTGTTGGAATTAATTCGTAGCGTTTTTAATGAAAGAATGTTATTTATTTCACATGAGCATTAAAAAATACATTAATGAAAGTACTTCCCATCACTTGTAAAACGCTACGAATTAATTCCAACACCTAATAGAATGTAAAAAAAAATAATAAAAGAATTGAATTAACTTTAGAGAAAATTGAAAAATAATACAAATGTAATATGCAAGTAATTATATATATTTACTTTTTCTGGCTGATGCAATAGAAGTTGAGGCCAATGAAAGATTAGGGTTTCGAATTGAAGCTACATTAGAACATATCTCTAACTCTACATTTGATGTTTCTGAAAAATTATTAAAGCTACATTAGAACATATCTCTAACTCTACATTTGATGTTTCTGAAAAATTATTTACTGTCCTTTTCTTTTTGTATTAAGGATTGTTCTTCAACTGTCTTTGATAACGTGCTTATTGTTCTGTAAAATGTTAATTATATAATATATTAACATGTAAATGATTTTATATAATATACAATATTTACGCTGTAGTCTAAAATGTGTCGTCCAAAGGTCTCATCAAATAAAGAAATTTATAATTCGATTTGAAATTTGTTGACAATGCATTAGATCCACTCGGCACATATTCTTTTTTTTTGTTCTTATATAATAATCTCTGACATTTCTATTTCTTCTGGAGGTCTTTGATACTCAAATTACCTAATAAACAATTATTTTTAAATCTTACTTTAAATAAATTTTATCGAGTAATTTTAAATAAAACAATAAAAATTTTGTTAATAAGTAATTATTAATAATAATTTCTTAACAATATTAGGGTATATGGCACTGTTTGGAATAGATTGAAATTATACAATTATTTCTTTGATTTCTATTTTCTGTAAAACAAATTAATTCCAATTTCAGTTCCATTCCAAAGACATGTCCTGAATAAATGTATATATAAGTTTTTAAACAAAAACAATAATTATATTATATATTTTGTATTATATATTATATATTAAGACTCTCGAATTTTAAACAATACAAAAAGATAAATATAATAAGCTAATAAGAGTCAGCAACGATAAACGGCACAATTATTTAGTGAACAATCAATACTCAAATGTTGGATTGATATCTTCTTTATTTTGAACGTTTCGACTCATCTGAGTAATACGTCGTCGAACGTGTATTGTATAAAATGTGAGATTTATATTTGATTTTAACAATTCTTTAAGTTTTAATATGTTCAACAAAGCTTCAGTGCAATGCTTTATGTTCCATGATGATTAACAACGCTGCAGCTTTGTCAATTTGCGAGTGACTTAGGCATTATGGACATGTCAGCTAACTATACTTGTATCATTCTTGCTGAGGAGGACTCCAAAGTCGAAAAAAAACGTTCAAAATAAAGAAGACATCAATCCAATATCTAAATATTGATTGTTCACTAGATAATTGCGCCGTTTATCGTTGTTGACTCTCATTAGCCTATTATATCTTTTTGTATTGTTTAAGTTTTTAAATTTATACATACATACTATTAATTATATTTTTTACTTCTTCTCTAGTACTTTTTTTGCTTTAAATCTTTCTTTAACATTTAAACGATGATCGCACAATGGTGATCTACCGCTAATAAGACGTTTCAAATTCGTTAGAATCATTCAAAGATAATTCATTTACGTCTAATCTATTAATTGTAAACACACGAAAAAGTTTAATTATATTAGTGAATTTCATATAATATACAAAATGATACATGTAACGGGTACATATTTATAATAATTAATAGTTGCAATATTATTTTCATCAATTTTAAAACGTTCTTATATTCATCATATCGTTTAAAGCAAAAATGCTGCAATATATCTTCACAATATTATGATATCAGCCAGTCGCAATAACCACATTTGATTTACTGTAAACAAAGACAATTATATTAACTAATTAATCCTTTGCAGATTAATCTTCTCTATTTTTCTATACATAATCAGACTGGATCATCGCCGCTTTTGGAAGATTTTTCACATGCAAAATTTTATATTAAAAGAATTAAAAAAGATATAAAATAGATATATATTATAATAAAAAGTAAATAAAACATAATCTATACCATGTATATTAAACGAAATAAGAACGCTAACACGAAACAAATAAGTACAGAAATAAAGAAAAATACGAGAAAGTAAATAGCATAGTTAATTTACGTATTTTTCTAAATTTTAAACTAAAGAATCATAATATTTAAAAAAAACTTGCAGATGCCTCCATGTCTGTTCCATCTGCACGCTCACACAAAAATTGCGTAAACTACACAATACGCAACTTTTTAAAATAGGTGTAACAGAAAGCGCGGAACGCCTCTGATTGATTACGCGCAAAATATCAAACTATGTAACTGCATCCTAAGAGACACTCTTTGACAGCTCATGTGATTTTGAAGTATGAAGCAACTTGCATGAGATAAATTGAGCTTCGAGATATAAATCGAGATCGCAATTTTACGTACATCAATATTGTTTCATATAAATTATTGTTTCATAGTTTTTTCACAAATTTTATAGTTTTTTTTTACGTGGCGTTGAAGCATTGGTTCAACGAAGCACATAGTTGTTCGAGTAATCGCCATATCTGTCGATTACTGGGCCTAAGTGGGCCGAAAAAATTCTTGTAAATCGAATAATGTATCCAAAATCCAAATAAAAAAATTAGATTTGAAAATTATCTAGACATTCTACAGACCAGTAATTGTCATAAACATAGGCGAGTTGATAAATAGATATGTAAGCAAATAAAGGATGTCGATCACTGGATTATTTCTATGTCGATAACTGTATATCTAGAACAGAGATCGGCACTACTCGAATAAAAACTAATTTTACGATTCTTTTCTATTGAAACAGCTATTAATATTTATCGAAAATTTGTAATAATAATAACGAAGAGTCTTGACGTTTGATGTATGAACAATTTTATAACGTTGCGATGATCATTATATCAGGAAGTATGATGATCTTGTTACATTACTACCTTGATAGCAATTTGGGGCCAAATTGGTAGCAAACTCCATCAGATTTTGACTACAAAATACATAGCCATCTGCGTTCGGCTAAATTTGTCGACAAAGCCTGTTGACAAGCTATGCCAGCAAATTGGTGGCAGAAACCGAGCAGAGTCTGCTCGAATCAGATTCTGCTCTCAATCTACTCTCAATCTGCCGTCATGTCATACAAGACTTTGCTCGGTTTCTGCTATCAATTTGCTGGTATAGTATATCTAGCAGGCTTTGTTATATTTCTCGTAGCAATTTGCTGACAATGTCAGACAATACAAATTCTATATACAATTTGGTGCCTTTCTGCAATAAAAAATTGATAACAGGCTCTGTTTAAAATCTGCCGCCGCAGACTTTGCTATCAGGGTATCTTTGGATGACTGCATATTATCAATAATTTTGGAGCATTGATAAGAATCCAAATCAGGATTGAAACGTTTGCGTATTTAATATGTTTATTTGAATAAATTATTTGCACATTGTCACCCAGTGTTTGCTCGAATAGGCATTGATTGATTGTATAAAAATATATACAGGGTTGGCCATATTCGACGGAAAGATGTTTTTTTTTGAAGGCCCAAATGTACGAATTATCGCCATGCCACCATAACGATTTGCCCAATAATCATATTGGGTTTGTCCCACAAATCGCTATACGTGTTTAATTATCGCACACACGAATGATGGAATGATTCAGCAGATATTTAAATTATATATATATATATATATATATAATTTAAATATCTGCTGAATCATTCCATCATTCGTGTGTGCGATAATTAAACACGTATAGCGATTTGTGGGACAAACCCAATATGATTATTGGGCAAATCGTTATGGTGGCATGGCGATAATTCGTACATTTGCGCCTTCTAATTTTTACGAAAGATCTTCTCAACAATGGCAGTAAGTATACAAATTTTAGAATGACGTTTTTATTCGTCACAAAAAATTGATTTAAAATAACCTAAAATAACAGTCACTCACTTTTCAACCTGAAAAATATAAATTTGCAAAGTCAAGCGTTTTGGTTAATGTGATGATTACTAGGTCAACTACTTTATCGTATTTATGAATTATGAATGCGTGCCGCATGAAGTGCATGATGCATCATTTATTGTTCAACAAATAATAAAGAAGGATAAAACGATATATCATATGTAACTTGAACGCATCCTATATTTTGATAGCCGGCCGATGTAATCTCAGTTTTAATCAGTGATCAGTTTATTAGCGTGAAATCGACCATAGTCGATTATTCTTCTCACATTCAACTGTGATTGGTCAATTTGTTATTCTTACAACCTCATTCATTGCTGATAGAGATACTATAACAGAGATTCAACAACGAGCCATCGTGGGGTAAAACCGGATGTCGGATATGATGTTTTTGATGGTGGTTTATTTGAATGTTGAATAAATGCAAGAATACGATATATATAGTTTTATTTGAAGTTATTGATGTTTTTTATTTAGGAATGTGAATAATGAATATTAAAACAATATATTTAAAAAAGGCTTACTATTTCATTAGTTTTCCCATGTAAGGTTAGGTAATATAAATTGAGATTATTAAAGAATTATTATTATATGTATAAATACACATGTTACGTTTTATATATATATAAATATATACATTATGTATTATTATAAATATAATTTAAGTATTGTATTTAGACTCGTAGAAAAATATAAGCAAATTATATAGAATAATACGTTGCAATATTCCTAAAAAATATGTGAACAATTTCGTTTATTTCTCATTAATTTTTTAATACAATTTTTATGTACAATTGTTTATTATTTATTTCTTGTCGTATATTTACTTCTGTGCAATTTTGTATAACTTGATTGGAAAAAATGTATATAGAG